TTTTTTTTCTATCAATAAAATTTATTCTGTTTTTGATTTCTGTTTCTAAAAGTTTTTTGTAAACTATTAGAAATTCTATTTTAATAATACATTTACTAGTTTAAAAATATTTCATCATTTTTACATTTTCTGTTAAATAATTATTTAATTTAAACAGTTTTTCTGTAGTGAAAACGTTAGTAAAAAGTATTTTCCTCAAAAAAAGCTGTTTGTATTGAATTTGTTCAGGAAGTTCAGCTTAATTCTGTATACAGTAGTTATGATATGAAATAACATATTCTTAACTCATATAATTTATGTATGATAACATAATTCACAAATTTATTCATTTATTTATTTGTAAAATTCATGTACTGTTTAAAAACTATATTACAGTATTATAATTTTCAAATCTCTTTTTGAGAAATTAAATTTTTCAATTTTAAGTTTTTTATTATGGAAAAAAAATGTATTGATCGTAACTGATGGAGATAAATTTATTGTTTAATGATTTTGTTTATTGTACTGTACAGAATGAGAGTTAAACATAGTATCAGCAATACTGTAAACATGAAAAGAGAAAAGTTTGCATTGTATATAATGGTTTGGAGTTTAGAACGTGTGGTGGACAATGGCCGACAAGCCAATGGAGTTCACATAAGATTAATGCACTCAAACATTATATGGAAGTCATATTAAATTAAAACCCATAGAGATAGCTGCTTTCACACAAGCTCATTCAATCCTTGTTATGTCACTATCTCTGATAACAATATGAAAACATGATTCAAATAGCTTTCAATAGTTGAAAGATGAAGGCAATATAATAACCTAAACAATAAGCAAACAATGTGATTGGGCTATAAATTTCTGTCAGTATAAGCATTTTTGTCATATTTAAAATTCTTGTGAAAATTCTATACTCCCAGTGCAGCTTAATAGTTCTGGTTAATCGCAAGTTCAAATTCAGGAATTGGAGTAGGAAGGACATTTGGCCGTAAAATGTAACCAAATCAGATTCTGACTGTTGTCTGTGTATGGACAATCACCTGCAGAGCAGTGAAAATTTATTAAATTTAATTTTACTGTTATTAATATTTGTTCCATTCAAAACAAGTCTTTAGAATTATAACATTGACAAAATTAGAATGCAATTATGCCAGATGGTCAAACCGAACTAGAATTGGCAAAAAAGTAGCACAAAAAATTCAACGCCACGAGCCCACGGCATTATCAGATCTGGCGACTAGAGTTTCTGAAATTTCCTGATTTTGGATTTCCCAAGAATGGGAAGTGCCATAGAGTATTTCTCAAAAAGTATTGAGATTTGGGAATTATTTACTTTTATTTATAAAAATATCTGTAAACCAATATATCTACTCTCTATATGTAGCTTAAAATTGTCACAAACATCTTTTTGTCACAGGGATAAAAGGATGGAAATAGCAGCACTGGGAATCAATAAATCGTCAGGAAATATTTGAACGAGTGGGCAATTCCACAAACCACAAATATAAAATTCTACTTTGTTTAGAATTTTCAAAACAATTACAAAAAAATTGATTAAATATTTTTTTAACATAATAATGAATTCTAAAATAAATTATAAAAAAAACTATTCCTGCAATATTTCTACATGCTCTAGCTGTTATGTTCATCTTTGAATAACGTCAGTGCCTGTCAGTAAAATTCAACAAATTTATTGAAATATTTATTGTTATGAATTTAATGGATCAGTATGAGCACGTTTCTTTTAATGTAAATGAAGTAAAAAACATAAATGATTTTTGCCTATTATTACATACATATTATTAAATTTCATATTTAATGGAACAAAAACATAACTGACTACAAAAAATATAAAACTTTTTGAAAAGTATATTATGAATGAAATACTGAACTGTTTTTACTGATTTATTAAGAATATTTTGTGAAAAAAATGTTATAGTCAAATCTTCCCAAAAGCTCCTTAGGGTCTATTTTGCATACACGGCTGTTTATGTGAAAATTTTAGTTCATTAAGAATGACAATAGCTGTTAGTTGCAAAACTTGTAGGTCTATATAAAATATTATTATAAGTCTTGGAAGCTTAAAAAATTTCTGGGAACTGACAGTTGAAAATTTACCAGGATTCCCCATAACCTTGATTCACTGTTCATGCTATTTCTTGTGTGTTTTACTTTCTTAGAGTTCTTGCTTTTGGAACTCTTAGAATGTTCATGGTCCAGTAGTGCTTCTGAGCCTTGTCAGAAGGCTCAAAAGCACTGTTGGATCACAAATTCTAGATAATGTGCCTGAATTTGTGCTGCAATAAAGTAGAAATTATATGTAGATGTTACTTGTGAAAAATTGTAGATTGGGGGTTGTATTTTACTTTTGTTTGATTTCCAAGCATTTTTTTTATAATTACATTTTGACTATAAGCAATACTACATTGTACAATATTCAAGATTGAATTTCTCTCTAATATATATAATACTTTGCCTATAATGATTTATCGAAATACATTCAACTTTATTCTCTTGATGTGAACGGCATTGCTGATATTGTTATTGTTTATTTAACATAAGGAAATGTTATATGTTAAATCTAACAATTAGTTTTTTTTATTCTTGTATATTTATAAAAAAGTTTACTTTAATGTGTATACCTAACAATACTAACATTTTTTTATAAAATATTTTGATATTTTTTTTATAATTCATTTGAAATTTATCATTATTTGCATGTAATAATTGTCATTTTATAACAATAAATCTAACAAAATAAATAGTTTCTTGACAAAATCTTTGTTATAGAAGAGCAACTTTATCTAATTACATTGTTATTTAATAGAAATGTTATTTTTCAAGTTCACAATATGCATTCACTTAAATGATTATTCATTATAAAGTTTATTTGGATTTTACTGTATATATTTCTGTTTTCTAAATTGTATGGGATAATTCAGAAACTTTTACCATCAGTTAAGAGAGAAATTTCTGGAGTATTTTAAACAAAATATGCCATATACAACCACAGTCCTGCTTATAAAACTTAAGATACTGCAGCTGTTTTGAGTCCTAACTTGGAAGTAGCTTTGTACAGGATGAAAGGTAATGAATGAAAAATACAAATCAACTGCTTGAAAGTTATTTATTAATTAAATCACAAGTGTTTAATTAATTTACAATGTTGAGAGTGGATTTTCCAAGATTTCTTCTTGTACTTCTTTACATAGTTTACATCTGAAGTACACTTTTTGGGATATATACTATGTGAATGATATTTTTGATCTCAACACAGCTATTCCTGATGGGTGTAGTGTCATTCATGATACTGGTAAGTGTGGTAATTTCTCTTGAGTTTGCACTTGTTTAAACAAGATTTCTAATGAATCCTCGTACAAAATCTAAGGGGGTAAGATATAAAAACATTTCGGGAAGAAATCTGAAACTATTAAAAATTGGATGCTTGTTCATATAGTTTTTGCAGAAATTCAAACTTAAACCATAGGTAAAACTTTGAAAAGTATACATATTATGTTACATAACTGTCGCAAATATATATATTATTGACAAGCTAAAGTGAGGATATTTATGAAAATATTTTTCCATTGTTGTTTGTTTATATCTGATGAATATCATTTAATTGTATTTGCTTTTTTTTATATTTAAAAAGTATAATAGGGTTTCTTTTTTTATTGTTTCTGTCTTGTCTTCTGTTAATTGCACTTTATTCTCTTTGCACCTTTCATGTTTCAGTAGGATGTTTTGTAACTGCCTTTAATGTCGTGAGTTTTGAGTGGCGATGAGCGATACGGAGAAGAAGTTCGTTTTAAAAGGGCCGAGTTTCTGCTGTGCGATCGATTGCACAAACTCTTATAATAAATGCCTTGGACTTTCCTTTTTCCGCTTTCCGAGAGACAAAGAAAGGTAACTGTGGAAGTAATCCTTAATCCATTTTATGTTGGAGTTAACTAAAATTAACAAAGGTTTAATGCAAGATTAACTTTTCATTTAGATGCAGAAAATGGATTTTGAATTCCGGAAGAGTGGATCTTCTCGACAAGACTACAGAATTTCTATATTCGACTTGCCGTCTGTGCGAACTCCATTTCGAGGACACCGAATTTGCAACCATAGAGAGAAACAAGCTAAGCATAACTGCCGTTCCCACCAGATTCGGCCTTGCCACTCTGATTCCAAGATCGAGCGAACCTAAGAGTTTTAAGCCGAGAAGACCTAAAATTAGATCTAGAAAGAAAGTGATTGGAGAGGTAAGAGAGATTTTGATTATTTTACACAGGAACGTTGAAGTTTAAATTCGATATTCCGATATGATACGAAACAATGATCAAAATATTTATTTTGACAAGACCAAAATGGAAATAATAAAATTTGCATGTAATGTGTAATTATTTTATTTCTGAGTGTGTATTAATATTATATAAACTTCTTTTGGATGAAAGTAATTTTAAATGACGTTTCAATAAACTTTGATGGTGTAAATATTAATTTGTTTTTTAATGCATTCGTAATGGCATGAGTTGACTAATCGTGACAGAATGTGTTTCAAACAAGTGTAAAATATTATAGTAAATTACCAGTAGCTTGATGTAAATCAGTGCTGATGTTATATTGTTTAAATGTAGTTTGGTGGTGTGTGTTTATGTATTTCTGGTGTGATTTTGCATGAATCATTAAGCAATATTTGTTTTATTTTTGTGAATGGTTATTTAAATAAGCTTTTCATACTTTTTTAATTGCGTAAAATGCATCAATATATTTATGAAACTTTACAAATTAGTACTTATTTGTCTCTTATCTTACAAATTACTTTTCATTTTCCTGTACTGTGTCTGGCTGCTTAATATGTTAATACCAGTGATGCCCAAAGTTTTCAACCAGTGGGCCAAATTGCATACAAATCATAGGGTATACAGCCACAAATATTTTATATATTTCACACATACTAAAAATGGGCATTATTCTATCATAAGTGCTGTATCAAATATATCCCCAGACTAGTATAACATGTTTCAAGGCTAAATTTGGCTTGATGCCATAGTTTGGGCATATCTGGTTAATACAGTAATTCTATGAAAATAATATATTTTATTTCAAATTCAATCCAAATACAGTCTCTGTCTAGGTTTTTTCTTGGTAATCAGTTATAAACTATATTCATTTACTATAATATGCTTTTTGTCTAGCTCGATATATACTTGTGAGTACTATGTTGGCCTCTTTATTCCTATTTATTCTTTATTTCCATTATGATTGGATCTTGGTGCCTTGCGCTTGAGGCAAAAAATGATTTTTGCCACCCCTGAATCTAAAACAGTTGCCAATAAACGACACTTTTATAAATAAGTTTAAAATACATTTATGGGACTTCATTATATTCAGCTTATTATTATTTTCTCTTTTTGAACATTTTTTTTCTCTCTCTCATTTTGCCACTAGAGGTGGGCAACTGATCTCGCTCATCTAGGTGACCCTGTATACTAACATTTTGTATCAATGTCATATAATCTGCTACTTCTATATTTTTTTGTAGTAAACAAGTTGCTTGATGTTAATTACAAATTACCATTTTCATACTGTTTAAATTATAGCAAACTATGTATCCCTATTTAGTATTGTATGTTTTCAAGCCCCACAGTGCCTAGCGGAGTTGGACATGTACTGTGTATGTTTTCAATAGAACCTGGACCTGTAGTAAACAAGTAAATTTTCAATGTTACAAAATATATTTTACACAAGAAAAAACTGGATTTATGCATACTGAAACTTATTTTTATATAAATTAAACTATATTTTTGGTAAATAAATAAATATTTTAAATAATATAATTCAGATTAATGTGTCATCTCTTATCCATGTTAGCTAATACCATATAATTAGGTCATCCAATATGGATAACGTGAATAATAATGCATCAGATGTAATTGTAATGGGCAAAAATTGAGATTACTATACAGGGTGTCCACTTAAATATCTATCTAGGGGCAAAAGAAAGCTTTTCAGCATTGGTTTGATTAGGTTATGTCATGGACTGCAGTGGACACGAATACACCGGATATTACATTGTCACGACATGAACCCATTCTGCTGCCATCTGCAATCAGTGCAACATGCAAAGAATGCCTCGTGGCAATTTGAGTAGTTCAACACAATGCTAAATTTACAGAATGAAACCATAACTTATTTGGCATATATCATAGGCCAACTAGGCACTGTTTTCCTGGAATGGAACACATTGAAGTCATATTGGGAAGAGCATGCTCCATGATGCACACAACATAGAAGACACAAAGTGCATTTTGCCCTAAATGTCTGCCCTGAAATTTGGAGTACACAGCTTCTTGATCCAATATGCATTGGCAATACTCCAAATAGTAGCTGATACCTGACATAAACTTCACAATGGACAAATGACTTACCATTGGTGCAGCAGGTTTTATACAGGCAAAATTACACATTTTGTCATTCTTGGACATATGTACTGTACATTGGTGGCTCACAGATCAGTTTGGTAACTGCCAAATGGGACAATACAATACAGCCCATTCTGTAGCAGCCACTAATTTACATCTGACTCAAAGAACAAATCAGAGAGAGAATCAGAGGAGAAATATTCGAAACAATACTAGAAATTTTTGTTCTCAGGAACTTAATAAATAAAATTAGAATGGAACGGTAGAGTCTACATCATCTCTCGATTTGGACAAGAAACACATTAAAATAAGTATTTTTTGAAGAAAAATAACAATCAAAATCAATGAATTAATACAGGGTCACAAGCAACTGTCCATAGGCGAGCAAAGGTGAGAAATTAATGCTGTATATGATGGGAGCTGGGGTTTATTATGCAAGAAAAGAGGAATGCATCAGTTAATTGGTTAGTGCCAGGATTTAGTGTTGATGGTTGAATAAGTGAAAACTGATTAAAGAGTAATTAATTAATAATACAAATGAGAAGAATTTAATATGCCCCTGGACTTCCCAGCATCGCTCTCCTGCAAGTTATTCGTGGCTCATCCTCTATAAATACGACGCAAAACGAAACCGAAACTGCAATAAAACGAAAGTTTATAACGGCTATGGAATCATGTAAAAATTTACCAACTCCTACCTGGGGTGGACTTGTTAGCAAAATAGGCCCGGGAATTCTGACTTGAGAATAAAAGATTCAATAAATCTACTTCTAATAAAGATAGAACATAAAAAACTTATTCCAAAGCTAAGAGACTCGTCTAAGTAATGGCACAGTCAATATATAAATAGGTATTTGATAATTTTTACTTTCCCGGCTGTTATATAACAGAGACAGTGTAGCGATCGGTCAAAATTGACCCTCTCCTAAATTTGTACATTTTTGGACTCAGGACACCTTGAACCAGTGCCGTAACTAGGCAGGTGCAACAGGTGCACTCACACAGGGCCCATTTGGAAGAGGGTCCCAAAATGCACATGTTTTTTTTCATTATTTTCCCAAACCTAATTAATTAAGGGGCCTAAATGCAAGTTCTTGCACAGGGCACAGGAATGGCTAGTTACGGCACTGCCTTGAACTGTCGAGATATGCAAAAGATTTGGGTTTTTTCTGTATGTATAGATGTTACTGTATGTGAGGCACGAGTTTGTTCACCCGGTTCGAAGCCTAATAATTTCTGTGGTTTTTAAATCAGAGTCGGATGGTTTAATGCAGGAGTTGTTAGGCTTCAGAATGGTTGAACTAAATCGTGCTCCCATACACATTCTAACATCTCAGGCGAGAACATCTTTAACAGGTTTTACTGTACTATTTAAAATGACAAAAAGCTTAATTTTGAGGGTAGAGACGAGTTTTATAAAAAATTGTGAATGCTAATAACGAGTAAAATAGTCATTAAGTCCGACCACACTGAGGATATGACACATGATTCCTATATCTCCATCCTGTCTACCTTTAATTATAAACCAAAATGTAATAGCATCAATGCTCCTCATATAGACTGTGTGGGGTTTTAGGTATGGTTGCCCAAGATAGACACCCTTGTGGGGTTGACCTTTCAGTTAAAGGTTATAACACTCGTTTTGCCCGCGATCTGTCAGGATGACGCGAGAAAGCCTTTTCCGTATGGGGGTAGTGGTTTGCTGGACGCAGAGAGACCGTAAATCCACAATTAACACGTTTATTTGGTAAAAACATGCTTACAGATAGGTGGATTACACTGTCCAACTTTAGAGAAGTTGTACCCACTCGATGGAGGATCCTTCCAAATTTCGTTAGTCGCTCGGGAGACGATCCCCGTGGAGGAGGAAGTGGCAGCTGGGCTCACGTTGTGCACGATTCCAATGAATCCAATTCCGTCAGTAGGCAGAATCCCTCGTAGCACCCCGTCGGATGGAGAGGTTTGTCGTGGGAAGTTCGGTCCCCTTGTTCCTCTATCGGTCCCGTTTCATGTGTTCGCCCTCACTCGGACAATCCTGTTGATCCGCAAGACTGTTCGCTCCCAACCTCCCCGTATCCTTGGGATTTCGGGCTTTTATAACCTTTTTCTTCCCGAAATCCCGAGATTTTGGTTGGTCCGAATGCTGGTCCCCTGCAGTTCTATTGGTCCCTGGTCTGTTGTCACGTGCGAGATTCGTGATGCCGAACATCCCCATCCTTGCCGTTCCCCTCCGGAGTCGGGGTAAGCCCTTTCCCAGATGACGGACCCGTAAATTTTTCCTAATGTCTATTTTTCTGTCCCGGAGAAGACGCAGCTGTCCCAGCCACCACCCCCTCTACAGGAGTGTCAGCAGGTCCCGATTTGAACTTTGTAAGGTGACCGTCCAAAGTTACCTCGGCAGTCGATCCCTCTATCGTTCTCACGATTGACGATCGCAGATTTGTCAATTAGATTTGGAATGCGACAATTATATCGTCTCGCACCCCGTTCCTTGGTCACACCGGTCCTATTTACGTAATAAGTCACCGATATATTGATTTTAGCTCGACAGGCGGTTCCCGTCGGGTGTGTTGTCCCGGCCTCACACCTACAAGCCATCATGCTAAATTTCATATCTTAATCGAAGCCCATCCTGTCATTCCTTAATCTCGACAACGGAGTTAGATAAAAGTCAAGACCAGATATAAAAACCTTAGGAGCAGTTGACCCTGATATATACAAACTTGTAATGCAAACCGGAAGACATGTTTCAATTTAAAAATTCCCCACCCCGAAAGGTCTTCTTAGATATATGACCGGCTCGACTACTATTGCTATGATGTATAGGGGCAAGACATTACTAATTTGAGGTTAAGAGTATATATTTTTTTAGAAATATCTTTTCTTCTATTATTCCTTCGTAAATATTTGA